TGGTACAATCTTCCGTAATCATTAGACTTCGTCAGACTTCGTTCACGACCTAATGAAGCCTTCCCTTTGTACGTACTACGTACTCCCACTCGCCAGCGAAAGCGTTTCACAAACCTTCTGAAACACATGGACCTAAATGTTACACAGCAGTACCTCATGCACATGTCCTTCAGCGTGGCCTTGAAACCCGGTTGGAGGTGATGCATATGATGTTACGTTGGCTTTGGCGTGTCGGAGGTCTAGATATTTGTCTTCTCAGCAGATTTTTCAGAAGGGTCTTGGCTGTGTGGCGTAGTTCTTGACAAGGCTTCCATTCTTACTGCTTTGTTACAGCATCCTAGTCTTAATCCATCAGCTCATGAGGAGGCTACTAGCGAACTTGAGATGAGATAGGTTTCTCTGTGACTCGTTGATTGAGCGTGAAGGTAGGCTAAAAGCTCATGGAACAAACGCTTAAATTGACTACTTGGTAATACTGACTCGGAGTATTCAAGTTAGTGCTCTTGAGAATTGCTCTCAGCTCAGACTCGTGTCAGTGTCACTTAGTCTTCGACGCACCACCAAATACCTTGAGCGAGCTAAGCGCTTACTATGCATAGTAGCTCTGCGATGAGCGCTCGGCGCTGGCCGTACGCCATGCGGCCACAGCACGCACAGCAAGTACATACTGGAATCAATTCGAGCATCCATCCGAGCATCCTTCGGATTTGTACTCATTCCACAGTTGCTTCACAGCCTGGTCTTTGCTCAGATCGTTACCGTCAGACAAACTAACGACGCCAATTGTTTCACGACTTATCGATTATCCTTCCCCTCTTCCCTCAAAGTTTCAAGTTGCAGCTTAGGCTTTTTCGATCAACGTTTTCGTGCGTCTTCCCTCGAGATAACCAATATGATGTCTAACATAATCACACTGTTGATTCTTGAACACCAGTGCTGGTGTTTCTATTCCAAAACTCACGGCCGCCCCATCAGTCGTGTCTTATCATCAACCTTTCATGATGAGTTACCACGACCAATGTCAATATTCCATTTCTCAGTGTATCTTTCACATTCTAACCTCATTAACAGTCCGTGGGGATCTTCGATCAATCGAAGGAACCTGGGAGAAGCTTTCCCAGGTTGCTGTCAAGGGCGCTGAATACGACTCCCGTGAACGTCAACCCCATCCAAAATGTCTGAAAGGAACCCGGGTGGACCTCCTCGACTTCATCTATGGGTTATTAGACAAGAAAGAGAAAAATCGTATCATCTGGCTGCACGGCACGGCAGGCGTCGGAAAGTCTGCTGTTGCGTTCACTGTAGCTGAAAAGATGAAAGCTCTGAAAATGACAAAGGAGACGAAAGTAGAAAAACGACTCGGGGGGACATTCTTTTTCTCGCGCAAGCACACGAAACGCCGCACTACTGGATATTTCTTTGCGACGCTTGCCTACCAGCTTGCTACCAACTTTCCCAGCATCCGGGGGGACGTGAACAAAGCTATCATTGAGAATCCCGCCCTTCTAGATCCTGACAAGTCTCTCCGGGATCAGATGGAGTCGTTGTTTCTCCGACCTCTCCGGAAGCTTTTTCTCAGACTTTGCGAATGTCCGCCTTTGGTGTTTGTTATCGATGCCCTTGACGAATGCACATCCGAATCACTCGAATCTGAATCACTCGATGAACCCACCTCCGAAAGCGAGCTCGCCGATCTTATCTTCATGCTTGGCGAAGCTCTTTGTGAACCTGATCTCCCCATCGTCCATATTTTGCTCACAAGTCGCTCGGAAGAGCATATCCGCAAAGCTATGCAGACTGAAGAGATGAAACCGCTGGTATGCGAGATACCAGTGAAGACTTCTGGAAAGGGCGTTGCTGCCACCATCTCATTAGACGGCGCAGATGTTGACAATGACATATACGTTTTCTTGCAGTACTCGTTCAGAGAGCTGGAGAGTCGCCATCCAGATTTCCCACAACCATCGGGCGATCAACTTGCACGGCTAGCGAGCCGAGCGGGGAGACGTTTCATTGTTGCATCTACGATGATGAAGTTCATTGACGATCGAAATCATGATCCCCGTGATCAACTTCAACTCATGCTCGAGCTAACAAGCGAGATGCTACCAGGGACGGAAGTGTACAAGCTCTACGACCGCATCCTCTCCACGTGTGCCGACCCGACGCTAGCATATCTGCACTTATCCGTCATTGCTGCCCTCGCAGACCCACTTCCGATGTCGCAGATCTCAAAACTTCTCGGCCCTGGCCAGGGCAGGGACGTCGAGACAGTACTTACGCAGCTACGATCTATCATAGATGTTCCCACCGACAGCAGTTTGCCTGTGAATATCTATCATTCGTCCGTTCGTGACTATGTCTCCCATCGCTCAAACTGCAGCCTCCGTCAAGTTCAATACACGCCATCACCGCACTCCCTACTCGCAATTTCCTCTTTCCGCTTGATGATGCGAGACCTTCCAGATCGCACGGCCCTCCTAGATGCACTTTCAGAATTGAAGAAGCACAGTCAAGCCACACAACCCCAGGACCCCCAGAACTTGAAAAACTCATTATCCTCCATCGTCCAACCACCAGAGTCAATGCAAGTTCTTATAGGTCTGCTATGGCTTCGTGGACATCGTGGCTCAGAGCTGCAATTCTGGCTAGAGACTCTGGATGGGCATGCCTGGCTGCAGACTCAGGAAGGGAAAGACTGGATGCTGACCGACGGTGGGAGACACTGGTTATCAACCCAGGGGGGAAAGGATTGGTTGCAGACCCCAGGCGGACTAGATTGGCTACAGACCCCAGCCATGAAAGTCTGGCTGCGGACCCAGGGCGGGTCGAATTGGCTACAAACTCAGTCTGGAATAGACTGGCTGCAGACCCAGTACGGACTAGACTGGCTGCAGACCCCAGATGTGGAAGACTGGGTGGAGACTCAAGGTGGACGAAAGTGGCTGCAGACGCCGGGTGTGTGGGAGTGGCTGCTGACTGAGCGCGGACAGATTTGGCTGAAGACACCGGGCGTACGAGACTGGCTGGAGACACCGGGCGGGAAAGATTGGCTGGAGACTGGTAAAGATTGGCTGGAGACCTCGAGCGTACAAGATTGGCTGAAGACCTCGGGTGGACAAGATTGGCTACAGACCACGGCCGGGCGAAACTGGCTGCAAGCCAGGGACCATACAGACTGGTTGCAGACTGCGGGCGGGAATGACTGGCTGAAGACCCCAGGTGGGAACGACTGGCTGCAAACTGCAGATGCGAAAGCTTGGATGAATACCCCGGCTGGGCAATTTTGGATCCAAACCGTTCATGGACGGGAGTGGCTGACGACCCGGGGCGGCTGGGAATGGCTGCAGACCCCGGATGGCGGAGTATGGTCTCAGGCCAGGCGAGCCGCCTGGAATAGACGATACAGAGGGCTCGATGTGATGAGTTTGAGGCGATCTCCGCCGAGCCTTAAGAAATTCGTATACAACCAGTCAAACAACAACTCGGACGATGAAGAGGAGTATTTAAACCTGGACGAGCTAGCCTGGCTGCAAACGGGAGATGGGAAAGAGTGGCTGCAGACGCCAGACAGAAACAACTGGCTGAAGACTATAGTTGGGAAAGAGTGGCTGCAGACCCAGGACGGGCGAGAGTTGTTGCAGACTGCGGGTGGGAGAAACTGGCTACAGACCCTGGGTGGGCGTGCCTGGGTGACGTCTGTGGATGGGCGCGCCTGGCTGCAGACTCCGAGCGGACGAGAATGGCTGCATACCTCAGGTGGCTATGCCTGGATACGGTCATCGGGTGGTCAAGGCTGGCTGCAAACTCCAGGCGTGCAAGAGTGGCTGCAGACCCCGAGCGGTCGAGAGTGGTTTCAGACCCTGCCCGAGTCGTTTACCCAGCCCTCATTGCTATTTTCTGTATCGTATGCACTGATCACCCAGCTATCCTCACAACCATCCCAAAACAAGGGAGATCAGCTGCAAAGCCCGGACGACGGGGCTTGGTTGAAGGTCCCAGGTAGCCTACATTGGCTACAAACTCTTAACGGACGAAAGTGGATGCAGTACCGTGGAGGGTGGGACTGGCTGCCAACCCGAAATGGGAGAAATTGGCTGAAGGACACAGGCGGTCAAGACTGGCTGCAGACCTCGGGCGGGCGAGATTGGCTGCAGACTCAGGGTGGTCAAGACTGGCTGCAAAAGGATGGTCGAGGCTGGTTGCAGACTCAGGGTGGCCAAGACTGGTTGCAAACACCACATGGTCAAACATGGCGTTTGACGACTATCTGGGTGACCATCGAAGAATTTTCGAGCACATTAGAAGCAGTCAGGGAGTACATAACCGCCCCGGAACTGCATTTGCAGCCAGCTTTTCAAGCAATCCAGCAGTTCAAGTCCCTGCCCGATTTCTTGATGTTCCCGGCATTCCTGGCGTTAAGGCATCAAGATCATTCCACCTCCACATTACTGCAAAGTTGCCCACCAGTTATAGAGATCATTCATGCTATGAAAGCTTTTTCAACTTTCGCATACGAAGCACGCGCACGCAGTCGAACAGCTTCAGAAGCCCTCAACTATGCATGTCAACACTGGGCTATCCATCTCTCGCGAGCTCCAAATCCGTGGGACGAGAGGCTCGCCTATCTGTTCAAGTCTTTCTGGAACCATTATCTCCTCTCCTGGCTCGAAAAACAGTGGAGTTTGAAAGATTTGCAGTCTTGTCTCACTATTTTATCCGAAGGCCAGAAACTTGCGATGGTAGGTAGTTTCCAACGTTTCCTAGACTTACAACAGCAAAGTCTGACCTGCGCATATAGGAACATCTTCTCCAGGCTCCAGTATCATCTCAGTCACGAGTCTGAAGGTGACAATCTCAAGATGCGACATGCCACAGTCTTGCCGCTGTACACATATTCATATTTCACGTTGCTCAAGTATCTATAGCATGCTGTACAAAATTGTAATATTTATAGTACCATAGACAGAGTGATATGAACGAAGGATACGAACGTTACACAGGCAGACGTTTGACTGGTCACTGGTCACAAATATCGTCGCGAAAGAGATAACGAAGTCCGACCCCAGAACAGATGCAACCATGCAAGGAAAATACCGCAGAGGCCCCACTGGGCTCTGCAATGAGGCAAGTGCAATAACCTAGCTGAAATGCACAACGCATGTCGATGCGAGATCCTTCGGAACTACAATCGGAAAAGCTCGTCGTCCTGAGATGCGATCACAAAAGATTAACATCCGCGAAATCACGCGCGTGAACTGTCAGTAATAATATGACATAGATGGTGCATTAAGATGTTTTCATACTCGTTCCCCATCAAGCGACGATCCCCCTGCTAAATATAAATCTAGTCAATAAATTATCATCCTGAGAGGCAGAATTGCCTACACAGAACCAACGGCATGGAACAACCAGCTCCAGCAATCAAAACCCGGATATTGCATGAATGAAAATGGGATGATGACTGACTCGGAGATCTGAGACGAAGACTGTTGTGGAAAACCTGACAGACCACAGCAGAAAATGGCACAGGTCCGCACTGGCAGAACAAGGAACGAGAACTTGTGCCCAACACTAACTTGAACTTGAATGTGCCAAGATGCACATGGATGACGTATTCACCACACCTTCATAAACCACGAGAAGTAGGATTGGTCGGAGACGTTGAATCCGAACAGATAGAACCATGAGCACAGGGCTAGCCTTTTACTAGTAGCGGGTCGTGACGAAGAAATCAAGTGTTGCGCACTGATAGTCATTGCTAGGATGAATATTACTGGAATCCATTTAATTTGTCGATTCGCAGGGGTACTGTCATCTCGGATAATTGTATCGAGTAGGTTCCAAGTAGGTTACTGGAAGTTGGAACAACGGTTTTACTTGGCTGACTACGCTAGCCAAGCTTCTAATTATGTAATTGGCGTTTCTGAGAGTATGAGTCGACGGTCCCGGAAATGTGACATAGGCGTATGAGTCAAGTTATCGATGCGCAGTGCATACCTCTCGGCGTATCCGATGATATTCTAGGTTGAAAGAAATTCTCAGCTTCGAATTCACGGACGCTTCACGACACGTACTAGGATCAGGTAACGTTCCAAGACTTGGCACGCGACCCACGCACGAATCCAACGTCCAGTTCAATACATAGAATAATGCTACAGGTATAGTGTATGATCCACAAATGCACAGTACGGACAGCAATGCTAATGACCATGCGAATATAAAGTGTAAGTATGTATGTAATAGCACCACCCTCTCTCACGCGCTCGCAGCAATGACAGGCGGAAGCTCCATCGCCCTGCCCTGCCCTTGTGGACTCGGCTTCTTCTTGCTTCCTCCCGCCATACCTAAGGTCCCTCCACTCCCTGCTGCATTGCTCCCTCCACTCGACCCATTAGTGCCACCATTGCCAGCTCCAGTTCCGCCAACATCTTTGCCCTCCGGGCCAAGCCCATTGAATGCACGCATCGGTTCCACTGGAACGGCATCCGACATACCAGGCCCTGACATTGGTCCTGGCTCCTTCGCTTTGTTCTTCTTCTTGACAGCCCCTGCAGCAGCGCCTGTCTTGAGTACCTGACCCAAGGGTCCAAGCTTTGCCTGTGCAGGTGCGGGTGCATCGTCTGGGATCGTGATGATGCGTGCGAAATCGCCTGACGAATTTGGTACATAAGGTAATGGTAGAACGCCAGGGTGAGGAAGGAAACCAAATTGAGGGCCCGGTGGGAGATAAGGAAGACCTTGGAGGGTGCCAGGAGGTGCGAGTGATGCAAGCCGCACTTGAAAGTAGTGACGCAATAACCCAATCTGGTCGCCCACATTCTTGCTCGTGATAGGAAGTAAGGGAGGTGGTGGTGGATATGGCGGTGGTGGTTCTTTGGGTTTTGCTCTGAGGGTGGAATAAAATCAGGCAACAAATCGGGAGACTGAATAGACAAGACGTACTCGATAGCGGCCCCTGCTGCTCCCCGTGATTTCCCTTTGAGTAGCTTCTTTGGGATAGTGAGACTCGATAATCCCAATTCGGCAGCAATGCCAAGCTCCCGTAATCCGAGAAAGTCATCACCAAGTGAGTCCGAAAACCCACCCATGACAAAGGCACTTTCGTCCTCTTCGTCGTCTTCACCAGCAAACAGCGCATCGTCATCGAGAACTTCTACTTGCGTCTGTGCATGTGGTAAGTACTGGGAATTTAGCCAAGAGTAAGGGGAAAGATCGACTAACAGCTTCGCGGTATGCTCCAACAAGCTTTTTCTCGAGGTCAACAAGGCGTGAACCGTGCCGGACGACATCGTCCTTGATGTACCGCTCGAGATCTTGGATTCTTGTGACTCCACTCTCGAAGAGTGTATGCAGGATGATTTCCTATCATACGCTACTAGTGAGTTCCAGGTTAACGACGAAAGGGACAAGGTGAGAGGTACCTCTGGCGTCATGCTCTTCGCATACTTGTCGCACATAAATCGTAGCGTTCGACCGACGTTAAGAAAATACTCGGACGTTACCCCTACCAACACATCCAGTGCAGCACCTGATGTCCCTGGACACGAAGTAAAAGTAAGTACGCCAGTCTCTAGCCGCCTATCACACCAAACAAGATGATGACGAGCAAAGGAGAATATGGAACACACCTTGGAATCCTTCATGCTCCAACACCTTCCGATTCATCCATTTTAGACATTCGTCAGCGTTCTTCTCACCAACTTCTAGTTCAACTGGTCCCTTCACTTGTCTAAGACCAGCATATCTCGATCGCCAAGGCCGCTCATCTATAACCTCGTCAACCATGCCTTCTTCCCCTATATCTGGCGGCTCATCCCCCATGCCACCTTCTTCTGCGTTAAGGTTGAGCGCGGCAAACTTTGCATGCGTACGTCGGACCCGTTTGAGAGTTTTAATGTTCGTGTTCATAATACTGAGGAGGGTGTTGGGCGCGGGAGTATCTCTGTCCTTGTACTTTGCTATAGATTGGGGGCGGAGTTTCCGTCGCTTGCGGGGCCTTGTAAATTGTGATGAGGACGCTGTGGGCTGGGATTGCGGATAGAGGGTCAATGCAGCGAAAGGCTGGGGAAGGGCTGGAAGTCCATTGGCGAGAAATGAGTCAGATTGAACAGAAGACCACCAGGTCGAGTTCGGGTCGTTTGCCGTGGGAAGAGGCGCAAAGGGAGCAGGGATGAGACGTACGCGTTTACGAGGATGATAAGATGAGCCGTTTCTGCATCGAATAAACGAAGAGGTACCGCAGTCAGTATTTGCCGATCAATGCACGGAGGATGTATGGGTAAAGGAACAAAATGGTGAGGCTCACAGCTTGCGTTTCTCCCCCAAGTCGTTATCTATTGACATTAATGCTTCGTCTACTTCGCTGTCATAATCGTTTGTAGAAGCAGATGAACTGTACCCATTGGGGATGCTTGATGGACCAGCTTCTGACTCAAGTGCACGGAACGCAGCCATACCGTGCGGCGTACGTTCAAGCGCAGGGGAATCGGCAAAGGGGAGATCCATGCGTTGCTTTGAGGATTGTGGTACTGTCAATGACGGAGATCGTCTGTGTGTGTATGCCGTGCCGTTAATCTTGGGCCGTGCCGTTGCGTTAGGTCTCATGGCGACGGGAGAAGCGGAATTTGGAGGCTGGGATAGAGCAGCAGGTAGGGGAGGGTCGATTCGTTCTTTGCGGTCAGTGATATTCTTCAGTAGTCTATCGGCTTTCTTCTTGAGGCGCATTGCGCACTGACGGAGGGGGTGGTCCTGCGCGGCACAGTGGGCCTCACCACGCGTTTTCACGACGGTGATACATACCTCAGTCGCATTGTAGGTGAAACAGTTTGACCATATCAGATCTAGATCATCTGCAAACTCGCGCTTGGACTTGTACTGCTTTGATTTGACCTTCTTGAGCATGGTTTGAAGGTCCATGGGGTTTACGATCACTGGATGGTATGAGACGAGGTATGGTGAGACGGGATATATGGACGCACCATCGTAATAGTCGGGAACGTCAGATTTTGCGACTGGCTTAAGGAATGCCTCCGCGTCATGATTATCCTGTGTATGATGTCAGCGGGGTAAGATAGCGTCGATCCGCCTACACACACACCATAGTCACTGTACGCAGATCATGAAGCAGTCCCTCGAGGGAATCATAGAATGGTTCGGATACCTTGGCATCGAAGCTTTGACGCTAGAGCGATTTAATGCATTATTTCTGCTTTAAGCACAGCACGGAACAACAAGACTCACGCGTGCGTCCTTGACAGCACTCAGAAGTAGCCTAAGGTCAGACGAGGGCTTGACCTGGCTCTCGGTGAGTGTCCTGAGGAGATTCTGCATACTGTTAGTTGTATGTGTGCGGATGGCTTGACGTAGCTTACATTCATCCTCTGGTCGCGCCGGCTGGCGTTAACGGCGCAACGGACTCAGCGGGACAACTGCCTTGTTCAGTCGGAGTTTGAATGCGTATGGAAGTCTCCGACCCAAACAATATCTTATGCTAATGGTGGGTTCAGCCTATGGTGGTTGGCTAACTTTTGAATCGATCAAGTAGTGTCTTGGCCAGGCAGCAAGGTATGTATAGTATAATTATTGTGGACTGTGGACCGTGGTAAGTTTTTGTATTACTAATTTTTGTGCTGTGAGCACAATGATCAACTTGCACTTCCAGCGTATTTTTTAGCTTTTAGAATATGCGATCTCCATGTAGATACTACCAATGACCGAGCTAAGAAAAAACTAAACATATGTGTTTCCCTAGTACTTGCTCGCAGAAAACAAACAACAGATAAGGAACGACCTTGGTCCGAAAAATAACAAAAGTCTTGATCAGGCCAAACGTACAGAAAGTAAGACAACCGATTGCGAGAGAACCATCATAGGAACAATGCGAATGTGGTACAAACCATACTAAGAAAGCAAGACAATATTTGATCGGCGTGGTGATCAACGGAAATGTTCGATATCCTCAATCGCAAGTGAATGTCCGGACTTCTTTGTTTGTGAACCTGCAGCAATATGGATATCGGCATGAACTCCATTATCATAGGCTGTGTTTGATGAGGGAAGACACGATAGAATAAGGTAAACATTAATAACAAGACACGAGACAACATGAGATAGCAACCAGTATAGGCCTATACAAAGGCGTGCAATCGCGAAGTAGGTGTGTCACATCATCAGGACCAACTTGAGGTTCCATGTCTTGTTGTTTGCGACGCCTAGGAATGAGACTCAGAACGTGTTGATACTGAATTAGAGAGAAAGTTTCACCGTAATCAGGCATCTACAGATGCAGCGGATAGGAATGTGCTTCGAAACAAACTTTAGAGAGGTCAGGATAGAATAAGAAGATGAAGGATTCACATCACGATAGTGTTTGGGAGCATCATCCCGTCCTACGCGCTCCAACGAGGGACAACGAAACAGAATGAAAACGCACTAGAAAGTTCTTATACACGATGCTTGAGGATGGACTTCCCCATGCTATATGATGGGACACTCGGCACGAGAAGTCTGTCGCGAGCTAGTAGGACGTCTGAGGTAGCCACCATACGTGAAACCTGCCTGAGGCGTCAGCCGTTAAACAGAGAACCGAGGTACTTAGGCATACTCTTGATCATCAGACGGGAGATACCAGACAGGCTGATTGTCAGGTAGACCACGAACGTTTTTGATACCAGAGCATGCAATGCCAACAAGATAGAACAAGAACATGCGTACAATTAACTATATCGTGATGTGACATTACAGTTGATCCCGCCACTGTAATGTAAAGTACAAACATCTTACCTTCCTCAGCTAAGCGTATTTCCTCTTGACGTGCCTAGCAGTTGAGATCATGCTGAATGAGCGCCATGGCTTTCGCAGAGCGAGGTGTAAAGAACACTTGAAGGGTTTGGGGTGGCTGCGAGTGTGCCTATCCAGATTGGCGCCGAACATGATAAGATATGCAACATACCTGATTGTGCCTGATAATGGATCAACCTCAGGTGTGATCTCGTTGATACCGTTTTCGACGACTTGGAGATATCGAACACGGCCAGCGAGATCGCAGTGGACGTCCGGACAGAAGCTTCAGCAAGGTGGAGACATGTATAATAAATGCAAGCAACATCAGAATATAGGTCGGTTTATCGGCGCTTCTGTGTGTTGTGCAAACCAGGAAAGATAATGGGGAGCAGAGAGTTAGCATGGCACCAAAAAAACTCCACACCTACGTCCCTCAGAGCTAAAGCAAATTATGCGAGGCTGTCTCAGGCTCCAGGCGAAAAAGCGTTCATGGTCGAATTACGAAAAGTGAGCATATCTCTGCGAGTTATTGAGCATGGAATTGGCTGGCATTATATTCTGTTAGAACATCGAATGTGCAAAGGGCGGTACCAACCAAACGTTAGGTATTATCAAAGAATGTAGATACCCATCATCGGTATCGTGCACGATGGGGGAAACATGTTAAGATATATACCATTCGGCAACTAAAGAATCCGTTAAATGAGATACACGGACTGGTAGGGATAACAGCGTGCTATTATGGGATTCGCTGGCAAGCGCACCTCAGCATATGGGAGAAGAGCCTCGGTCTGTGGAGGGAAGACGATCAGGGTCATTTATCCAGCATGTCCATCGCAGTCTTAACAGAGTTCAGGACGATGATGTGCCGACCCAAACCCTTAATATGCGAGATGTCACCAGCAGAGAAGACATTATGATGCATGATGTTGGCGAAATGGGAGGTACTCACCATGCTTCTTGCCCCAGTTCTTCTGTCCGAACACCCGCATTAGCACTGAGAATATATACTCCGACACAGGTAAGGCAAAGGTCAAGCCAAGTGACGTTGATGAGTGTCAACATGTTATACTAGCAGAGGACCAGAGTGAGATTGTGTAGTCCTATCAATTGGCTGGCCATGTGATAATACACCCAAACTTTGCGTAGGCTTCGTTATTGTCTGTAATCAAATATATCATCGACCCCCGAGTAAGCGGAAGCCTGCAGGTGTTTAGATCAACTAATCAAAAACTTGAAAGAGTATCACCAGCCACTGCGTCTGAATTTTCCATTTCACCCATTACCGGCCGGTAGCGAATTGGTGACAGGTAGGAGTTGGGTAGGAGTACTGTGATTTCATCCATGTCATAGTTGGCATCGGGTCACTCTGCAACAAGCCCGAAATGAAAACTTTCCCAACTAGAGTGAATGAAGATTGGCGTGTTATTCCTAGTTAGTTACAGGGGAATAATAGGATTGTATGGAGAACAAGGAGTTGATATAGCTGCTTGAGGGTCTGAATGAGACGAATCAGGTCTGGTAAGTTAGAGACGCACCCAAGGTGATTTCTAGGAATGGGTTTCTTCATCTGGATGGGGATGATAAAGTGGGGCGGCAGTTGTAAGCTGCCGCATATATTTGAAATACCAAACATTTTCAAATTTCGTTCTTGATGAAGAGCTTGACTAAAATATTGTGAGGACGGACTCGGAATGATGTCGAGGGGGGCGTTGTTGATGCTTGTTTATGCGACGACGAAAGCTTTCCTGGACATTCTTTATACAATTCTTCAACTGACGAAATTGCTAATATACTCTCATCCGACGTTACGCTCCGCCGCGTGCTAGACTGCTTTGTTGTGCAGCGGTTTTGGGACATCCCTTGTGGTCTTTTTCATCTATATTGAGAAGGATCAATAGAGATGTCTGCAAACCCAAGGCTACATCAGCAATGATCCGAAAGGCTGGAGATGATCTCCAACTACAACTGATTTACAGGCAAACAGGTGACGGATTTGGACATGTGGAGTGGACAGGTATGTTTCAAAGGACAAAAGTGTAAGTCACAATACAAAATGTACATTCACTACATAACGCTAATGCTACAACTAGTTGCTATTAAACCCCGGTAACGAGCATCGTCGAACTCTTTGGTTCAATTGACGCCTTGCAATCATGTTACTCCAAGTGAGCAAGTCATCTCTTTGCGCCAGTATCATCCTGACCATGATGACCATCACCTGTTGCCTTTTTAGTAGGTGCCACCTACATCACATCACAATGACAATAAGCATCACATCACGACAATACTATAGCATCCCTAACACTCACCACAATCAACCGCGCCTCCCTTGGCACCGCCACCCTCCTCGCTCTCCGTATCTCAAACTCAGGTTTTGTCCTATCGAGTTGCGCGTACGACGGCCGATGGCCGTTCCGGAGCTCGTACGTTGATTGTGCGTGGTGTATCTACGAATATCATGTCAACACAACGATCATACAATAAAAAGCGTGCTCAGACCTGTTGAGTCATATCTTTCAATGCTAAGTTCTAACGCGTAGCTCTCGGCTGGAAGACACGTTTTTTGTTTAGACCCAAGAATTAAATACTTCGCGAGCTGTGGGTGAACTTCATAGCACGAAAATAATTGTCTAAGCAAACGAACAAAAACTTTAGTGGCATAGTGAGTGGCGTCTGCTTTGCTTAAATACCTCTTTCCTGAACATGAGAAGGTCATCACTCGCTCTCCTCACTCACGTTCTAAAATCTTAGCTTGCATCAGATATTTCCAGGACTATATCCTCTTACCGTATAAACGTATAAACGGGTCACACACGTTACAACCACATGGACGCACAACGTTTCGACCCCCTGCGGCGTACAAACATGGTCAGTATTTCTTTTGGTTTCATCACCCTGCGTTTCCTAACATTATTCCTTGTTATTCTCCAGAGACTTGCCTCGCTTTTCAAAACCCGCACTTCAGATTCGACGCCGATGAGGCAGGGCCCTTGCGTCAAGAGCGAGAAAACGAGCGCGAGTGATGTACGGCCGGACCACGAGATTGTAATCGATCCTGTTGAGGGAAAAGATTCTGATTTGAAGGGGTCGTGCCCACCCTCTAAGGACACATGCACTACACGCGTCACTACGCCTGTCGATATACATGACTCTGTCGACAAGGTTGCCACACATACCATCACCCGCTCTGAGCCCAATCCCCGTGGTGGCGCTCCTATAGTATCTGTCACAGAGATAGTGTACAGACGCCCTCCGTCTCACACAGACACCTCCTCTCCCTCTCAATATTCGTCATCTGTGTCACCGCAATCCATCCCTCCTCCAGGCTTCAATGACTCCGCCGAGACGGTTGCCACAGGCACCATCATCCAGTCTGATCCCAATCCCCGTGGTGGCGCTCCTATAGTATCTCGCGCACAGATGATGTCCAGAGGAGTGTGGTCGCACTCTCCGTGTCGCACACAGATGGTGTTCACAGGGGCGGTGTCGCGCTCACTTCCCACAAATGCCTCCTCTCCCTCTCAATCCCCTTCGCCATCTGCATCATCGCGATCCACCCCTCCTTTAACCAATGAGTCCGTTGATGTGCTTACCACGCGTACCGTCACTTGCCCTGATCCCAGTGGTGGCGCTCCTACAGTATCTCGCGAACAGATGGTGTTCAGAGGGGTATTGTCGCGCTCTCCGTCTTGCTCACAGATGGTGTTCACAGGGACGGTGTCGTGCCCTCCGGCTCGCACGAACACCTCATCTCCGGCTCGCACAAACACCCCCTCTCCCTCTCAATCTTCTTCGCCATCTGCATCATCGCGATCCACCCCTCCTCCGGGCTTCATAAGGCGGGTGTTCCGAGCGCTCGACCGTTTCAATACATCCTCAGCTTCTGGTAGCGACGCGGATGACCTGAAAGTGCACAAGAGGGAGAGGCACGTGTTGCTGGCGATTGTTAAGGAGAGAAGGGGGAAACACAAAGATGATCGGGTGTTCAAGGATATCGCGGGGAATGACTTTCCTGCTGCTGGTGTGAGGGACAGCACTTGAGTTTGGGTCCTTGCATGGCGTGGGTTAGATCCTTGTGAATAGTTTTTGCTGCATCGCTGGACGCTCTATTGTATATATTCTGTATTACGCTCATTATTCACTATATCTGCCAGAGAACTGTTCCTATACTTTATTTTATATTGCTACTCATCTCGGACCTACTTGTTCACTATGCAAGTGAGTGTTTACTGGCAGGAGGGAGTTACAACTGCAAAGATCGGTTTCCTGCCCAGTTTTAAATAGGCAATATAACATGAGGCTGAATTTCCGATGTTCGAAAAAGGCATACACAATTATGAGATTTCTAGAGCCCTGAAGGCCTGATGTCTATCATGCTGTGCACACTGCAGGTCGGCAGAGGATGATGCGAGGGCTCACTGGCAGTCCAACAGGCTGTTATCCACAAGGTCGAGCGTGACTTAGATATAAATGCTATACAATGGCGAAGACTACACGTGCATTGGGAAGGTAAGTCCGCGCTGGACCGTCAATTTCACCGTGATCAGCTCTAGTAGACTTCGTGTTGCTGGCAAGACAAGGAATAGCTGCGGAGCAAGTACTATCGTCATAAAATTTTCAACTATGTCCAAATTATGTACCGTAATACAACCCATCGTGTAGTAGTCTGTTCTGACACCCATGCCCGATGCCAGTGAGGCCTCAGAAATATATCAACCTGCCATCAAGAAACAACCATGGCAGAAATCGAACATATGGAGTATACTTCGCTCTAGTCTCGATAAAGCGCTCTGTTTCCTCTGGTGTACAAGGCTCCTGTAGCATGGAAGCAGGGAACGTGAACAACTTCACCCATATACCTGAATCCTTGGGCGCACATTGAGCGACCGGCCGGGGTTCGGTGTGCGGAAGAATTTTGATGTGCGGAAATGCCAACGAGAATGTTTGCAGTCCTTTGAAAAGAACACGCGCGAAGCACAAAGGCTGCCAGTAGGATACAGAATCTTCAAATTCAAATTCGCTAACACAGTTGCACTGGAAGGGCAGGCATTCTTGGAAGGATGTGGAAAAGAGTAGGGTGAGGTGTTGGATGGAAGCGAGGAAAGCATATCCATGGACAGACCCCACGAAGGGCCACCATGTATGAGAGAATATACCCAATAGCGTCAAACTTCCCGTGCTCCAAGGAAGCAATGAATTTTTGTGGTCGACATTTAAGTCGACATCGGAGTTGCACGCATGTTTGAGGCATTTTGAGAGAAGATTTAGATTATTAAAGTGGATTGCGAGGGAGGATGCACCGAGAATGACTGGAGCGAGCAAACTGATATCGAGCTCGCATTCAAGCTCGGGCATAGGAACGGGAAAGTAGGGAATAGGTGGGCTTTGCAAAGGCCCCCGAAAGTCTCCGATTGAGATCATGTGCACGCAAGATGCATAATCAAAAGCTAGATCATGTTGTCGATCGATGTATTTTTTCTGCATACGCAGAGCCCATATGAAAGCAAGCAGTTGGCGAGCTGTTGACAATAACACTGTATGAAGAAGTTCAGGCAGCACAGCGCGCCTGACAATTTTGGAGACCTGGCATAGTGAAAGGGCAGATGAGTATGGATCTCGGGTGAAAGGCGCATGTTGAGCAAAAGGTGGTTGTGCCGCAAGCTTGAAGATGATGAGGGCGAGCTCAGTCGGAAGGCCGTTAAATCCAAATGATATGGGAGTAGGAGGTTCCATGACCGAGCGAGAGACGAACCTGGTTTGGATACTTGTCTCCTGAATTCCGCAGCGCTGGAGGTGATTGGATGAGATGGAGCGCAGGTTCAAACTCCGCTAGGTCGAGTTGATTATGTAATTTTACCTGAATTGATTGTGCCTTGTGTTCGGGCTTTGACTATTACAAGCCTTGGGGATTGTTGGATGCTCGCAGTGGACCCTGCTCGTTAACAATCACGTTGACTAGATCAAGCCAATTGCAATTGCTTAATGTCTGGACTAAAAACACTCCCCTTTTGGCAAGTGACTATGTGCAACACATCAAGACAATGAAGAAGACGGTCCACAAAGAAACCGACAGTGGGTCAACCCAATTTTCTATACTGCCACATCCTCGACAACAAAGGACGCGACACCAGATTTGCCTATCACGATGTGTGAAATGTACGGGGACAGATTTGTGCCTTCGAGGGATGCTGGAGATATGTGAACGAGCTATCACTTGATGGATGAAAGTGGTCCTTCAACTCCTTCAAAATCTCAAATTATACCAACAGAATCGGATGCTTTGAAGGGTCAGTCACCTTGGTTGTACTTGAGATGGCCAGCTGACATGCCCATAGAACAAGCAAACACAATATTTACATCCATACTCCACACAGAAGTGACCCCCCCTTCCCCACGTCGACCCACTTCACCCATCACGGAATTGGGCAGGAGATGTTTTTCATAGATTATTTTGGCAAAATTTAACCAAAAATATGTAGATTATACTCAAAGATGAAGCAATGCATGAGCATCAGCAAAATGACATTTTACGACAAGAAAAGTTCAATTCTGATGAAGACATGCATGTCTTGCAACTGTGATACTTAGTAGATAACTTATTGGAGAATGCCCTGCATCTCTCCAAAACAGTGGTCGCCCGCTGTCTTTGTGATGGTCATTTGCAATGACAACCAATCAGTAAACTAGAGTTACAATACCTTACAATACCCTCATCAGATTGGCATAGTACTGTATTGCAGTTGTCTGAGCTCGACGTCGCGATGGCCATTTACAACGACAACCAATCAATACATTAGAGTTACAATACCCTCATCAGATTGGCATAGTACTGTATTGCAGTTGTCTGAGCTTGACATCACGATGGCCATTTACAATGACAATCAATCAATACACTAGAGTTACAATACCCTCATCAGTTTGGCATAGTACTGTATTGCAGTTGTCTGAGCTCGACGTCGCAATGGCCATTTGCAACGACAACCAATTGGTACACTAAAGTTAGAATACCCTCATCAGATTGACATAGTACTGTATTGCAGTTGTCTGAGCTTGACGTCGCGATGGCCATTTGCAACGACAACCAATCAGTACACTAGAGTTACAATACCCTCACCAGATTGGCAGGTACTGTATTGCAGTTGTCTATCCTCTCAGGTTGTATCCGCCCTTACCACTTTCCGTCAGATACACAAATCATCAGTCATTGCGATGGGGATGACAAGTGTTACATATATATTGATCAAGTACATAGTTAAGCATAATTTGTTAGTATGTACTAGCAAGACTTCAAATTGGCAATCAACAACATGAACACCCCTGATATCATTAACAGAATCACTACCAAAACACGATAGCAAGCAAAACAAATGAGCACGAGGGTGATTTTTGCATTATATCACGTCCACCACGCACGTCTACATGGACAAAAGCAAATAAAATAAGCTTAGGACAACAAGTATACCACACAGATAAACACCCCTCCAAACCACCATGCACATACATTCTATTTTTTGGGGTGGAGGGCAGCCACGACCCCAAGGTCCGCCACGGCCCTGGAATGAACCCCTGGACTCACTGTTGGGCGCACCACCCCCTGGATGACTAACAGGACGATCACCACGCTCCTTCCTTGTCTCAACGATGATCCGAACACTGCCCTCAGGACTATCGAAGCACAATCTGCCCTCACTACCAGTGTTAGTGGGAAGCGATGCAATGATTGCTTTCTTAGCAGCATCAAGGCTATTGACTCGAGGAAAGCACAATCTCGACATCCTTGACGGTACCCAAACGAGCCAGAAGAGTTATCAGTTGCTGTTGCGACATGACTTCTGTTACACCCTAATGAAAGATATTGTGATGAGTGATGCGCATAAATAGTTGTAGGAGGAAGACATACCTTCACGAAGCACTGGGGGATTGTGAGTGCATTTGCAGAAGCGATAGGCGAGTGTGGGTGCGAATGCGAGTGCTCTCTCCGTGGAGCGGGAGAAGGGGCACCACCAGCCGGTGGTGTTGGGGATGCTGCAGAAGCAGGGACCTCGGACATCCCTTTCAACTCAGTAGCCACCTGTGCGCCCCAGCGCTTGACAGCGCCGAATTTTCAGGAATAACTTGTTTTTCAGCCTGTGTGGTCATCGTCAGTTAGCCGCTCTAGAAGAGTGAATAGAACAAACCAGCAGTAAACTCTGAGGCTTAGGTAAGTATTCCAGTGTGTCAGAGTAAACACCTGGTCCGCACCTCAGAACCACCTGAAGGTCCGAAGAAACAAGCAGTTCCAGATTGTGAGTCACCATCAAGATACAAAGAGCCTAAGGCATCTATCAGACCATGTAGGTTGGATTCTGCCATCATAGGTGTTGTGTCGATACTGATCCTGCTATCAGCTTCTTCGTTTGACCATTTATTGGTCAACAGTGGGTGTGGTTGAGTTGAAGTATTGACCTGCAGAATTGCAAGAGCGTCCTCAAAAGAGCGCATTCGTTCTTCCAGCTTGGCGGCCTTGTGGCGCAGATATTCTTCAGCAACACCGACGAAGCTGGTGGAGATGCAATATTCAGACTTGTTACACCCGTGCATGCGGTGGCACCATGCTTACCGGCTACCTTTTCCTGGAGGCATTGTGCCTATGCATCATTCACATGGAAGTTTGGATGTTTGACGCCATGAATGAATTCTTACCATTAGGGCAAAGCATACTGCATCCTCTTTTGACGCAAGTAGAGCATGGCACTGTGGGTACGATCAGTCCGATGTCCAGGACCACTTTAAAGTGAAAGATTTACCTCGCCTGTCACATCGGGCTTTAGAGTCAGCGGCAGCGAGGCTGGCCCACGTTTTTGGAGCTGCAGGTTTTGGTGCAGGAGCTGGTGCCTGACGAGCAGGTGCCTGTTCAGGGGCTGGTGTTGGGGTAACCAGAGCGGGAGGTGCAGGCGCTTGTGGCAGCGCAATCAGAGCAGGAGGTTCAGGCTCTGGCTCAGCTTCAGGAATAGATGGCTCAGGGGTATGTTCCATCTCAGGTTCGTGATGGATCCCGTTGACCTCAACTGGAGCAAGTTCGGGCTCAGGGGGGGCTCAGGGACCATAATGGTTGGCTCTTCGACTTCGGGTTCAGGAGCAGGGGGCGGGGGAGTTGACTTGCATACTGATTCAGGTGCAGGTTCAAAAGGTGCAGTAGAGGAAGCCTCGGGTTCGCTGGCATCATCTTCAACGGTCTCCTCCTTCAGGAAGCGGAAGATGTTGTTGAGAACAAAATAACTGTTTGGCTGCTCTGCAAGGAAGAAAGTTTGCATGAACTTGCGCCAAGGGTCGCCATGATTTGACATTTCGCCGATAACCTGAATGATGATACCACCATTGGCACTAAACTGGGCGTCGACTGAGTGGATGTAGACCTTGCAATCGTCGAAGCCAAGAGAGGTAATCTTGTTATGGATTTCCTACATAACTTATAAGATTTTGGGGAGGGTGAATAGATAAAAATAGAGATACCTGCTGGCCAAAGCATGCCTTGACATCCTCGCCCTCAGTACCATGAATGAAGGTTGAGGTTTTTGTGTAGAAGCAATGCAAATGATTGGGATGCTCATTAACAAAAGTGATCAGCTAGGTGGGAAGCACCAACAAGGAACATGTGACCGAAGCCACACTTACCATGTCAGGACATGGATGTTTCATAGGGTTAGGGTTAGTTTGATTCAAAATGATGGATAATAAGGCATGTTCAATACACTTAGCCCTTCGCTTCTTGAGCCTTGGCCTGGGGTATTAAATGTGATAAAATAATCTAGTTAAGAGGTGTTGCCATCGCGAAATACATAGTGCAAAGGAACCTGAAAGCGAGTGGCTGACATAAGTATGGGCAGGGATCGAAGCAATATTAATGATAATATTCAAGCTATCAAGTTATTCATCTGCTCCGTAAGTAATTGGTTCATTTCACTTCGACATCATCAAATAAGTCCAGGACCAAAGCTGGCGATCATCAATGGAGTTATGAGTCCCGCCCCAACAACGAGGGCCAGCCCACATCCAATCCTTGTGGCTAAGGATAGCACGAAGTCAGCCATGAAGACACCTGCAATAAACCTGAGGATTGAAAATGCCAAACTGTAAGGGTCATGTAAGTGGTACTTGATTGCAATAAAACTTCGCTTACCTTGTCATAAGCAAAAAACTTGGTATACTTGCCAGTATTGCGAAACTGACCATCTTCCCTTGCAGGTAATACATCTATCAAGTTGAGAACATCAGGTCCAGGTTGAAAAAAGATAAACGAACCGCAAATTCAAGCGATCTTAATCTGTGGCCAAAATGTTGCCCCACCGTGCACGCAATGATGCAGTAAACGCTGAGAATGAAGGAGATGGAACACAACGTCTTTGTTGCGAGTTGTACACCTAATTCTGGGATGGCAAGGATGCTGGTGTCTACTGCCATGATGACACTTGCCTGTCACAGCAGATTAAGTCGTAAGTGTTCCTTTTTGGATTTACAAGATAGTACTTACTACCGTAGCTTGAGATTTAGTCTGGGTGGTGAATTCATCTACAAAATCCCTGACGTCCACACCATTCACAATACCATTGATGTAGATGTTCTTGAGGCGTTTGAGGACCACCATCGGGATCCAAAACATAATGACTTCAAAACCAGTCAAAAATTGACAATGTTGCTGGTCTTGATTCCTCTCTGCGAGTGAGTGCGTTCGCATCAGACGAGCTTCAGGTTGACCGTGGCGGTTGAGGTATTCGTGATGGCCTTTTGAACAATTCGATCAGTGCATCCAATATAAGGTATCAATGATGCACGGAGTATATGCAATAATCTGCCTGTTCGTTGTTAAAGATAAGTTTGTGTTTAGCAGTTATTCACAGCTCACGCACCACAGATTACGATAGCTGATTCCGATTACGATAGCTGATTCCTCAATGATCTCACTAGGCTTTGCAAGTTCCTCTGTTTCAGTTATTGAATTGAAATGCAGATTAAGATGAGGACACACACCGGTAATGGCCAACTCAGCGGCCATTTCTTTCATCTGGTTCAGAGTCCAGAACAGCGAAGCCGCCGTTGACTGTTCCATGGTCAACACTTCTGTGTTTCATTCAGCCTATCAGCTCATTCTGGTTGGGCGCTGTGATTCTAAAGAACTTGCCTATGCAGTACCAGTTCATTTGAATCCACAAAGCTTTTACATCTGCGATACACTGTAGAAACAACGATACAGAGAGGAACAAATGAAGCTCCTGACTGTATCTAAAAAATGTTGTAGGTCGTGCATTGCCTAGTCTGCATTACTTGAGGAGACAAGCGCATTCGACCCTAAAGGGAAGCGAGTGCAGTGAAGATCTAGAGGTACACGCTGAAGCGAGGCGTGAGAAAGCGCAGGTGCACGCAAGGTACGAAGGCGCGGGAACGCGCGCGCGTATTAGCGCGAAGCGTGGGAAAACGCGCGCACATGTTCGGAAATGAGAAAGAGTAAGCTTAAGTGAGGATATGATGTAAGACAAGTGAAGAGAGGTGCAAAGTGCAGACAAATAGATTTCAACTATGTTCTTCTAGGTAGATAGTGGGTGGAAAGTATAGTAAGGTGGAAAGTTCAGTAAGGTAAGGTAAGTTCCAAAGTTAGTTGAAAAGTAAGTTGTACTATGTACTGCTGGCGCTTATATAGCGCGCCTAAGCGCAGTCATGCGGAGCCAAAGCGCTACCGAGTAGGTATGTAAGATATATATGGGTGAGAGTCCATGATAAAAATAAAGATGGAACAATATGCAGATGAGAGAAATAGAAATATATGCACTAGAGAACATGGTAGACAGTGGATGGATGCATCTGGATGGCTGGTGCTATAGGGCGCTCAAGCGCGGGAACGCGTGCGCGCGTATACATTGCGAAGCGTGGGAATGGTGTGCGCATGGCGCGCATTGCACGGGAAAGTTGCACCTCATATAGGGATAGCTGCGGGTAGCGCACGGAGTGACACTACAAGTTCGTGCTATGTACTCCTTAGTGAAAACTTGTCATATCACACCATGAGACACACAAGTCTCTACAGCGCATTTCAACTCCTCGTGGAAAATACTCAACATGTTTCCTATGAAAAAAATGAGGTATGTTCTCCATCAAGCTTATCAATCGCTCACCAATACTGGGCCTCTAATTCGAGTCCTGTGCGACTAAGTTAAAATCAAAAGCTTACAGAAAGGAACTTACTTTTGTGGGTCCAATGCCATGCCGTCTTACATTCTTGAAAATGAAGGTATCCACCTACCGGTTCCAACCAGGTAATGATGCGCTTCTCCGGAACCACATAGTAGTATGGAAAGATTTCATTACCTCTCACTAACATTGGCTCGACAACTAGGAACCACTCTTCATTGTTTAGCTTTTTTCTTGATGCGTCGATCCAAGCTTCGAGCCTCATGAGCTGGTCATCTGAGTAAGTCCTCATGTTCATTTCGGCGTATGTTTTCTTGATTTCTATGGAGTTAGTATATGTAACTTGAATTTTAGGAACTACTCACCCATCTTGCATTATAGTTATATACAGCTCCTGACAGATGGACTATCTTGGTCCAATCTTGACGTGTTTCACACCTGTCGATGACATGGTAAACCGATGTCGCCACACACAAAGGTCACAGACCTAGGCATGTCAACCTGCATCATTCCAACGGTATAGTTATGATGGAGAGCTTCCCTACTAAAGCAAGTCAGTACTCATCATTCGTCTCAGGAGAAACATGCGCTCACGGTAGTGTTATTTCGGTGTACCGCCAGAGCTGCATTGGCCATATAGGTACACTGCGCATGAGCAGCTCCTGTGAGTCCATTGCTGCAGTTTTAATCTGGGGATAAGAAGCTGCCAGTGAGTGAATGGCTAAAGCTTCAATGAGACTCAGGACTGAACGTACCGTCGTGGTCATGGCTCGATGTGTCAACGTGGTAGCACTGGTGAGCGGGTAGTTCACACGATGATTGGTTGATTATCTTGATAACTGATTAAAAGCGCCCGCTAGGAACAACCCTGAGATTGTAGATATAATTAGCATACATGCCTTGGTGGAATGATTTAAAAATGGCATGGCACAATGGTCTATTACTAGGTAGTAGACTTGCTTGTATGTAGTCAGATACTGCTTGACAATGCATGATGGTATATATTTTGAAGGCTCTTCGAGCCGAAAAGTAAAGTACATGTATGCGATGGTATAACACAGTGATGGTAGTTCTAGGAATGTGTAGTCGTTGCCCCAGCAGGTCAAACATAACGACTCAGACATGCTACACTACGTGATTGAGAGAGATTCTAATGTACATGATATACCACAGTAAATTCAAACTAGATCTAGAGTGTTCTTGAGAGATCGGTTCTGATTTGAAAATAAAATGTTTACCCGAAGTGCTGATTTCACAGTGTTGGTGGCCTTATTTCTGACGTCGACGAGTTTGGCCTTGATCGTCGTCAGACGTTGTGTTGTCACTGGCGTAGTGATGGCCGATTGGTTGGGTCGCTGGAGAAAATGCTTAAGCCGTCGGCAACGTTAACTCAGTGGTCTTACCGAATCCAACCAAAAGTCCACCTGCGTCTAATGAACTCGTTAGCTATATTCCGTCGATCATACGATACTTACCAACACCTTTCTGCCTTTCATTGGCAGCTGTCCCATAGAGGCTGTGTGCGGTACACAAGACATCGAGTTGTTTGAGATTGTAAGGGTGGGGGGATATTGGATGGCAGCGGCGCACGATTGACGGAAAGGGGCCTGAATTAACATAATGATCAGATTCGTCGTATGATCGGCAATGACAATCTGGCCGAAGCAACAAACAAGCATAAACACACACCTATGAGTTTCAATAGCACGTGATGCTGAGTGGCAGCCGCAACAACACGTGATGCTGAACAGCGTTAGGTCTCCTTGAGATGATTGAGTGAGTGAAGCACTTCGTGGAGAAATGCAAAAAGAGAATGCGACTCATCAGTCGAGCGCGTCATTCAGCTCTCAATAGTATGAATCATGCTTGTCGCTATCGTGTCTCCAAAAGCATGTCAATGATGATTACAGTATTCATTGATACACATACCACGTCTCATATGATACATACAAGTACAAACTGAGTCCTGGACCAATAATCTCCATCAAAGCTCATCCTCGTCAAAGCATGAATCATCCACTGACTTCCCGACTCTTTCCGAATGGAAGGATGTGAAGCTCGCATAGGGAAGACCAGGGAGACATTCATCCACCTGTATGATGGGTTTAACATCCTTCAAAGTTCTGATTCGCTTATTGTTCATGGATGTTCTAGGGCCCAAGGCCTTCGGGTCCATAGGTAACACATTCGCAAACCTGAAAGTTCAATATATCATATCCGACATTAAATTAAAGTGAGGGACACTGACCTTAAAAAAAGCACGTTCCTCATCGTGTCCTGGAACTCGCGAAACTGGTCCAGGTTGTCATACATGTTTGTTAGGGCAGCCACAATTATGTGATACATAAGGAACAGTTTTCATCCAGGAGTCTTGGGTGGGCGCCAAAGATGTAATGTATGATAGATCTAGAACAGTAACACGACTTTTGTTAGTGATACAGGCAACAAACACGCGGGCACTTACGACTGTTACAAGAGTTCCAACGAGACATTTAGCTAGAATGTTCTCCTCCCGAAATTCTTCTGGAAATAAGTCTGTGATTCTGCCTTTGCGGTTGCCATCAGCCAAACCATTCAAGGTTTGTAGCGACGACACCCATAACAGCTCCTTGAACATATGCTCCCTGACGATTTGAAGAATAGCTCGCTCAATCTAAATTTCAATAAATCAATAAGTTAAGTCGCGTAGGGTCAGTCTCTCACATCCTCTTGGTTAGTTGAAATGAAGAGTTCAAATAACTCCTTGACCCTCAAATCCCGCTCTTTGTCCGTGTTACCTGAGAATCCTGTTTCTGACAAAATGCAACCTCGGACGATCTTGCGAAACTCAGAAAGTCTGTTCTCGACATAACTAGAGAACTGCTCACATCGATTAGGAGCGAGCAACGGTGAGGCATGGAAAAAATGCACAGTTAGACGAATGGTGTCCCATCTCAAGGACGACTGCTGTCCGGACTTGGTCTGCACGATTACTGATTGTAACATTAGTTAAAGACTCATATAATTGCGAAAAGATACTCATGCGGTGTGTCAACCATATCTTGTAGCATTGTGTGGTCAAGGGAGATTGCCTCCAAAAAGCAGTTGGTGAGCAATTTTCGATCCTCTCGCTCAGAAGGATCAAACAGATTTCCTAACCCGAGCCAGTGGCTACCAAGGTAAAGACACTTCGTTATAAACATTGGACATTTCCAGGCGGATTGGCAGACCGCTAATTTGATCGCCTTCCTCTCGTCGTTTTCGAGCGTGATATCTGAACCTTTCCACACTAGGGCTTCGTGCGTTACAGTCTTGCTGGTGGGTGTGAAGTTTTCAAAGGGAATGTCATGGGCTCCTGGTGGTAAGGTGAGTGGGTCTTCGGTGTAGTAACCAACAGATGCCATAGTAACAGGGTAGTCGTAATCAATCTCATCATCATTGTTGACGGACCAAACTGATGGAGGCAAGGATACAGGAGTAAACTGTTTGGCCATTGGGGCGTTGTGAAATACCAGCTGGGGAAGAGGTGCAGGGCCAATGATGGTGGGAGGTGGGTAACCATATGGGAATGGTGCTGGGTTGAATCGGATGGAATTGTCCAAGTTACTGACCTATAAATAGAGGAAATCAATCCTCGAACTGCTGCAAGCTGAAGGTAACACTCACAAACCACACGAGGCTGGTGGTCCCTATCACATTTGGTCAACAAAATTGAGTCTCGATTGTCCGAAGAAAATCACCGTCGCCAAAGTATGATTATAAGTCAGGTTCTGAATTTCAATATCATGTATTTCTCACCTGCTTCTCGTACACAGTCCAAAATGCTGTGTTTTCCATGAGGGGGACAGCGAGTACACCAACAATGCCTAGAATGTTGACCCGCTGTAGAAACAACAATACAGAGAGGAACAATGATGCTCCTAACTGTATCTAAAAATGTTGTAGGTCAAGCGTTACCTAGTCTGCTATTCTTGAGACGACAAGTGCGTTCGACCCTAGGGGAAGCGAGTGCAGCAAAGATCTACAGGTACGCGCTGAAGCGAAGCGCGAGAAAGCGCAGGTGCGCGCAAGGCGCGGGAACATGCGTGCGTATGCGGAAATTGATAAAGACTAAGCTTAAGTGATAATATGATGCAAGGTAGGAGAAGAGAGATGCAAAGTGTAGACAAATAGATTTCTACTATACTCTGCTAAGTAGTAAGTGAGTAGCAGGAAAAGTAAGTTGTAAAAATGGAAAGTTAGTTGAAAAGTAAGTAATAGTATGTACTGCTGGCGCTTATATAGTGCGCCTAAGCGCGGTCATGCGGAGCCGAAGCGCTACCGAGTAGGTATGTAAGATATATATGGGTGAGAGTCCATGATAAAAATAAAGATGGAACAATATGCAGATGAGAGAAATAGAAATATACGCACTAGAGAACATGGTGGACAGTGGATGGATGCATCTGGATGGCTGGCGCTATAGGGCGCTGTAGAGAATCATGCCTCTCATGGCGTGATATGGCAGTTTCCACTAGGGAGTATACAGCACCAACTCGCAGCACCACTCTGTGTACTGTCCACAGCGATTCCTATATGAGGCGCAGCTTTCCCGTGCAACGCGCGCCATGCACGCATAACTTCCCGCGCTTCGCGATGTATACACGCGCGCGCTTTCCCGCGCTTGCGCGCCCTTTAGCGCCAGCCATCCAGATGCATCCATCCACTGTCCACCATGTTCTCTAGTGCGTATATTTCTATTTCTCTCATTGCATATTATTCCATCTTTATTTTTATCATGGACTCTCACATATATATATTTTTACATACCTACTCAGTAGCGCTTCGGCTCCGCATGACTGCGCTTAGGCGCACTATATAAGCGCCAGCAGTACATACTATTACTTTACTGAACTTTCACCTCTCACTTTATCTAGTACTTACTACCTAGAAAGTCGCAATAGAACTCTATTCCTTTACATCTCGCACTCTTCTCTTATATTGCATTATATTATCGCTTAAGCTTAGTCTCTCTACCATTTCCACACGCGCGCGCGCGCGTTCCTGCGCCTTCGTACCTTGCGTGCACCTGCGCTTTCTCGCGCTTCGCTTCGGCGCATACCTCTAGATCTTCGCTGCACTTGCTTCCCCTTAAGGGTTGAATGCGCTTGCCACCTCAAGCATAGCAGACTAGGCAACACTCGACCTACAACATTTTTAGATACAGTTAGGAGCATCTTTTGTTCCTAGCAGTATTGTTGTTTCTACAGCACTCAAGCGCGGGAACACACGGGCACGTTGCACGGGAAAGTTGCGCCTCGTATAGGGATAGGTGCGGGTAGCGCACGGAGTGACACTACAAGTTCGTGCTATGTACTCCTTGGTGGGAACTGCCATATCACGCCATGAGAGGCATGATTCTCTACACCGCATCCCCGAGGCACATACTGGGCACTACGACAAATGCGATGAGAGACACGACTGATTTTGATGGTCACTCACATAAATCGGAGAGATTGTACGGTGGTTGTGCGCCATATACCCCATCAGAACATAGCTTTCTGATTCGTCAAAGCCGACGAAGGGGTGCTAAAACGACAAGTTAGAGGGAAACAACGTAGTCGATAGAGAGTAGCAAACTGGGTCATTCTAGGGCAAATGAATCAGAGCGTGACACCTTATACACAATACGGAATTGACATACAGGAAGTTGGATAACCTGGAGAACTCGACTGACTTGAGGAAGGTACAGATAAATCGGAGCAGCGACATCCACTATTTCCAACCGAATTATCAGCGAGAAGTGTTTGTGTCACATTGAGTCAGCTCACTTTGGGTGTCTACCGAGCGAGTAACGAGGGTTTGGAAGAGCAAGACCTGGATGAACGTACCTTTTATGTGAAGCTCCGTTGCAGAGATTGCACCCTGTTACCTGAAATCGGCAGCCAGAGAAAAATGGGGCTTGACCAGAAACGAGCAAGTGCCAAATTACCAAATTACCCCTGAAAATTATGAAGGCTGTGCCAGAATGATCAATGACTGAATTACGCGCTTAAAGACATGAGTTGTGCTGCCGAAATAAATGAATTTTGCGCCAGGATCTAGAGAAGATCGTCAGCCAAAGAAGGACGGGCTAGCTTGACGTACTCGGAGTGATGCTGGCGCAATATGCCAGGAATTAGCGAGAGCTAGCCCATTGGGCCAGCCATGAGTCAGTGATAACTGATCAGGGGTTATTTTGCGCTCAATGTAAGATGCTGAAGATGCTGCGTGTATCATTAGTTTTCATAATCATACTCGTGATTAGTAAACATCTTGTCGAGCACTTCTACAAGTGATTCTGTGCTTCCATTTTGTTCTTGTTGAAAACAAGTCAACTCCTCGACGCCAACATGCTCCTCTTCATCCTCTTCATCCTCCTCGCCTTCGGCAATTTCCTCGAGACTTTCTTCCCTGTCTGTGCATTTGTTTTCCGTCTGTGTTGTCACAGGAATTGCCTTTGCGATCCTCGCCTCATGAGAATACACGTTGTCATGCATGGTATGTGATTCATACCATGTCAGATATATATAGAGAGTGATAAGGAAGATATGAGAGACTGTCTAGCCCTTTGTCACTAAGTTACCTCTCTATTTTTCCTTTATTTCATTGTCTTGTATTTTATTTCTCACTTTACAGGCTTATTTTACCTTGTATTTGTATCAAGCATGTGACCTTCTGTTTATTTCTCATTGTTTATTTTTATTTGGCTTCTTTCAGCCACCAAGTTTTGTATCTCTATTTATTTCTGACTGTTTATTTGTATTTGGCTTCTTTCAGCCACCAGCTTTTATTTGTCATCACATCATGTGACTGGAAAATATTCTGGTTTGTAACATTATTTAAGCTGACTCAACATGTTTAGTCATGATTGGCCATGCTTATGTAACAACATTTAACATGACTCAACATGTTTAGTCATGGTTTGTCATGGTTTCTAATTTCTTTGTAAGATTACACTGTATTTGTAATGTACTTAGTAATAAGCTGATTCATCACCTGGTTTGTAAGCCACATTCTTACCAATCCATCTGATTAATCATGCTTAGTAAGGGGGTTCCCAAAAGGTATAAAAGGACCCCATTTTCACCCATGAAATACAATCCTCCCACTTGACTCTTATCTCAAACCGTGTGAGACCACTAAGACTTAAAGTGCAGGCCAATATAAGTGCCTTGAGATAATCTAAGATATCATTATCTATTCTAAAGTTATATACTACCTTACAGGGGTCGACTATATAACTTTCATTATCATTATTCTACTCTAGGTTATATACTACCTTACAGGGGTTGACTATATAACCATTGAACAGCTCTCATTCTAAGCTTTACGTGTATTCATAAGACTCTCCCTTTCAACGGAAAGTGAGACACATCTAAGGACGACAAAGTTGAAACAGACTTTCATAGGTTGAAACACAACCTACTAGGCTGAAACAAACCTAACGAATTTATCCAGAACACAGAACATTCCACAACAACTTCGTATAAGACTACACAAGAAGAGGACAACAAACTAAATCCTCCCAAGAACTCACCACGTTACCTCCCATGAAGTAGACAAGTCGGAGACCGTGGACTTAAGGACTGGCAAGAAGTCTTCACCATGTATAATTGTGTTGTCATTATACACAACTTTCATATAAGACCCTTAAGTAACAAGACAACGTGCCCCACTCCAAGGCCGTAATGATAACACATTAAGGTGTCTCAATCAGCAAAGCTGGGTGTTCATGTTAGTAATGAATATACAGTGTGAGCAAACACAGACCTGTTGATGTAATACTTGTGCCAGTCATCCTTATCTTTCACAAGAGGGGAAAGACCATTTCCATCACGACTGCGCTGGCCTCTAGAAATGGTGGGTATAATGTGACATGCTCTGAGAACGACTTTAGGGTCTACAAATCCAAAGGTGTTTTCCTTTGCAAGAGGCATGAAACAAACTCGGCCTAGCGTAAATGTCTCCCATGAGTGACTTTGAACGGTTTCGTACCATTGAATGAAAAGGAATTCCAGTCGATGGGATTCATACACGTTTCCCACACGAATAATGTTGACGTGGTGTATACCAAGGACTTTGGCATAGCAATAGTTGTCATTGTCGTCGTCACGATCATCGTGATGCTTAAGTATCATAACATTGCAGTGGGGCGTCTTTGGATTTACAGTGTCCTGCGCCCTGCGAACATCATAAGTCGTATAATTGAATTTTGCGAGGTTGTGGTGATAAAGCCTGTTCTGCTTGAACAGAATGGAGTCGCGCTCTCAGTCCAGATGAGCTGATGTGTGCCCAGGCTCGAGGCGATCCAAAATATGATCTTTTAACCGAGGCAAGAAGTCCTGCGCGCATCTCAGAATGATGTCTATCAAGTTAAAAAATTGATTACCTTCATGGCGGGATCTTTCGCGTGGCTGCGCAGGTAGTGACCAAAGTCATCGTACATCTTTTCACTTTGGCCGATGAAATGATG